TTTTTAAAATTATTTTTAAAAAAAAAAAAAAAAAAAAAAAAAAAAAACATTATTTTTTTAGTAAAAGTATATCTTTTTTGCCCTTTTTAACTAAAAAGTAATTTATATTAAAAATTTTAGGTTTTATTTTTTCTTATTTATTTTTACTTGTTAACAAGGGGTAAAATAAAAGTAAAGTATATTAAAAGAGGATAAATAAATGTAATTTTTTTTTTATGAAACGGATTTTTTATCCACATAAATAATAAACAAGTTTTAGACAAATTTGAAAACTACATAAAAAAAAGAAAATGAAATTTTATAAAGTATTAATATAATTTCAAAAGTATAATAAACATATAATTTAGTGTACTAACTAAAAAGGTATTAGCCAATATAGATCTGTAAATATACTTCATAGAAAAATCCATTGACCGCCCTCCTATAGTTAAAATTAAAAAAGAATAATGAAATAAACAGAAATAATATGATATTTTAATTAAATTTAAAAACCAATAAAAAATGGGAAAAAATTTGTGGCTAATGAATCATAAAATCCCCAACTTAATCCAACAGATAATATCCTCTCTTTTAAATTAATAGTATTTGTGTGTCTACATAATTAATATAAGTAAAATAATATGAATTACAATTTTGTTTAATATTAATTTTGCTTATATTTTTATACTTGTGGGATAAAATGTAGTATATTCCAGCCAAATCTATTATATTTGCACATTCTTGAAAAATTATCTAAAAAAAGATAAATAAATAATATATATATATTCGAATTATTTAATGAATTAAATATCTCAATATATAAAAACATACATTGAAAAGATTCATATTTTGTAGTAGTCCTATTGAGAAGAATGCTAGTACAAATAGCTGTACATAAAAAAAAAAAAAAAAAACATAAATAAAGAACATATAAAAATAAAATTTACAATTTTTTTTTTTTGTTTTTATGTTCTTTTAACTTTTAATATTTGAGATATAACATAGTAAAAACATACAATTACAAATAATTTTGTTGACCCAACATCTTTTGACCTAATAAAATAATTAAAAGAATTAAGTGAAAAAAAAAATATATATTTAATGTATAAATATGTTAAATATATATATATATAAAGAAATAAATTAATTTTATGCTCCAAAATAATTCTCAAATTATTCTAAACTTCCTTTATTTTTTTTATATTTGTTTTTGTAGTTTATTAATATTTTAGCTAAATATATATTTTAAATATTAATAATTATTAATATATTTTTTTTAATTAAACAAGTATTTTATATTAAAATTATTATGAATTGTTAATGTTTTTTTTAATATAATAATTCATATTATTATGCCTTATTCATAATTTTACAACTTAAATCCATCGAATATAATATAATATGGAATAAATGTGGTTAAAGAACAGTTAACGAAGTGAAACAGAGACATTTTACCATAATTTGTTTTCTTTTCTTTAAATATTAAAACCTTCTACATAATATTAATTTTCTAAATTCTTTTATTAAACAAAAACATATATTATAATTATTTTAAGAAAAAAAATTTATATATATATAAAAAAAAATTATAAAAAACAAATGATTAAAAAATTTTTTATACTAAAATTTTTTTTTATTTTTAAAATTCTTAATTAAAAAAAAAAAAAAAAAATTTAACGAAATATAAAAATAAGAATAAAATTTTTTTTAAAACTTTAAAACAAAAGGTTGGCTTTTTTTTATTCTATTTTATTATATTTTTCGTATAATTTAATTTTAATTTTTTCTAAGAATTTTACGTAAAAACACACGATAGCCAATTACATTTTTTGAATATAATTCTACATATCAAAGAGCGTAATATACACTTTTTTATTATATCAGAATAAATTTATTTTACATTGTTTTTAATTTTTGTAATTTAAGATAATTTTATTTATTACCAAATAAATAAAAATATATATAAACAACACTTAAATGTATTTTTATCATATTTGTTATAAATGTAATCAAATAATTTTTTAAAAAAAATAACTAAAAAAACCTAAACATTTATATTATGAGAAAAAAAAATTATAAATACAAGAACAATATAACACATAAATATTATATAAAAAAGTAATTTAATAATATATACATAATTTTTTTATAAATAAGTATCTACATTTTTATCATATGAAATCTGAAAAATTATAAATATAGCAGAACAAATAAAAATGAATGAAAAAAAAAAAAAAAAAAAAAGGAAAAAAAAAAAAACAATAATATAGAATAACGTTTTCTTTTTTCCTTTTTTTTTTTTTTTTTTTTTAAGTATATTAAAATTTAAAATATTACGATTTTACAGTAACCTTACATCTGTAATAAAATTTTCAAAACAAAGCAGAATGTCATCTAATTACAATATAAAAAAAAAATATAAATATTGTTACCCTTCATAATCACTATTTTCTTTGTATTTTTTCTTTAAATATTTTACAATATTTGGTATTCCAGAAGCTTTATTTAGTTCCTTTTTTATAAAAAAAAATGTATATATGTAATAATTTTTTCGTTTATGATTAATTATTAAATTCGTTTTAATTCATACTTTTATTTTAGTAGCCGCAACATTTATATTTGTTTTTACCCAAGTAACTTTTTTTTGTAAGCTCATAACCCATTCAGGTATGCTACCAACATCTAAACAATTATTTTTCAATTTAAAATAAAAGAACATTAAATAGTACTTTTATAATTTTACATAAATTTTTTTGAATTAAAATTAAAAAAGTAAAATAAATAACAGTATCATATTAAATTTCTAGAATAATATATTTAATATATTTATTTTTAATGATGATTTTATCATTAACCCAATAGATTACAGAAATAATCGGCATAATTTAAGCAATTTCTAAAAAAAATTATAAAATTTGCATATATATATATTATTATTATTATTATTATCATTATTATTATTAATTTATAAATAATTTATTTTATAAGAGATAAATTTCGTTTCTATTTATATTTACAAAAAGGTACATAAATGTTATTTTTATTTAACTATACTTTTAAATATATATTTTAATGTCTTATATTTAGCCAATATCTATACCTTGATAATATATCATATGTATCACCTATCCACTGTAACTTCATCACTTCTACTAAAAGATCAACTTCCTCTTTAGTTAGTGGAGTTTTACTTAAAAAAAAAAAAAAAGAATGAAAAAAACGTAAAATTATAAATATATCTATTAGGAGAGTAACTAAATTCCTGTTAAAATTTTCCTCACCCCTATTTTTAAAAATAAAAAAAAAAAAAAAAAAAAAGTATATACATATATATATAGATTTTAATATTTTTTTATCTATTCAAATATTTAAATGTAAAGAATTACCATAGGGATACTTTCACGATATACGTGATATGGATGAAAACGAGCATTAGTTTTTGTCACACCTGTTTCACCATCTATTAGAAAAAAAAATTAATATTCAAACATTTTTTCTTATGAGTATATAATAATTATTTTTAAATTACTAAAAACATAATAAATAAAAATATTTTAAATACTGAAGAACATTTTTCATTAAAGAAAAAATTTCTTATAAGAAAATAAATATAGAACTAAAATGTCCTTTTAATATATTCAACATTTACCTACTATATAACCAAATGAATATTCATATCCATATACTTCTACGCCCGCATGAAAAGCACCTGTTATAAATTATTAAAAAATATAAAAAATATTAGAAACATATTAAACATAGAAAATATATAAATAAATGTAAATAAAAATATACATTATTTTATTTTTTTCACCTGCTCCCATTGATCTAGCTACCATATTAACAACTTTTGAAACCGAATCTAAATCATAAATATTTAAATAAACCATATTAGAATTAAAATCTGGTTCAGGTATGCTTTTAATTTCACTACTTTCATCATAATCAATTAAATTATATTCTTTTTCTTTATTTAAATGTTCTATGCTATTTTCTCTACTTCCTTTTTTCATTGTTTATATCTCTTATTTTTAAATAAAAAAAAATAAAATTATATATACAATGAACTATTTTTGAAAAAATATTTAATGAATTAAATTTTAAAAAAGCTAAAATACGTATATTTATAAAAAAGTTGGATAAAAAAAAATTCTTCCATTGAAATTAAAAAATTACATTAATATTAAATGACATTTTTTTTTTTATTTTTAAATAAAAAAAAAAAAAAAAACAAAACAAAACAATGTCTTTAAAAAAATTGCCATATAATGAAAATTTTAATGTAAAAAATTATTTAATTTACTTTTATTTTTATTTTTTTTTTTTTTTTTAGTGTGCGCAATTGCAAGTAAAAAAAAAAAAAAAAAAAAAAAAATAAATAAATAAAAAGAATAATTGAAAGACTATGAAACTTAATAAAGATTAAAAATAAATTATAATATAATTCCTTTAAATTTATTAATTTATTAATATGTTTATTTGTTTATATATTTATTTATACATTAGTTAACTCATTTCTTAATTTTTATATTCATATGTTTCTTTTTCATTAACATATACATTTGTATTTTTATTCAGAATTTTGTGCATTTTTTAGTTCATTTTTCTTATGTTATTTTAATTATAGTTATAAGTTGTTTGTAATAGATATTATGTAGAATATAAAAGAATAATAGATAGACACTTTTTTAATAATTATTAATAAAAAAAAGAATATATATATTTTTTTTTTATCAAATTTAAAAATTATTTCTATTTTAACATTTTCAAGTATATGTTTTAGGAGAAAAGTAATATGTTTCAACATACATTTCATAAAAAATACGACAGTGTTCTATTATTATCTTTTTAACAATACACGAATAGAACAAAGTAACCAAAAGATTACTAAAATATAAATAAAAAAATCTACTATATTAACTTAAGATTTTCTTTAATGTAAAAATAAAATAAATTGTGTTTTTATCATTGAATGAATATTATGTTCTTTTTTTATTTTAAATATACATTTGCATATTACAATTATTTTCATATATATATTTTACTAATGAGAAAAATAGAATAAAATATTACTGATATAAAGGGAAAACTGACTTCCATTATAAAAAATATAAATTATACCTATATTTTATATTATTTATTTTAATGAACAAAAATATAAATTCCTCTTTTTTTAAAAATAATACATTGCTTTAATTTAGAAAAATGGAAAATTTTTAATATATTGAAAAAGTATACATTATTAAAAAAATTTTTTTTTAATGATTTCCTACATTTCATAGAATAAAAAAAAAAAAAAAAAAAATTTGCAGAAAAAGTTGTTAATATATTAGGAAAGAAAAGAACAAAAAGAAATCTTCATTAATAGTTTAAAAAAAATTTTTTATAAGCATATCTTTTGCAAAACAATATTATTTTGGGTAATATTTTATGGTTTTTATTAATATGGAAAACGAAAAGTTTATCACAAAAAATAAGAAAAAAATATATATGTATAATTTTTTATAAAAACATCATTTTAACTTTTATTGAGGAAAAAAAATATATTTTTAAGTCTTCAGAAATAATGAGCATTATGTATCTTTAATCTGTCTTTTTATTTTTGTAGTTTCAAAATAAAATACAAAAAAAAGAAAAATAAATAAATAAAAAATACTATAACAAAAAATTATAAAAATAATAAAAATAAATTGATATATATATATATATATATATTTTTATTATTATACAATTATTCCGAATTTATTATATTACATTTTATTATATTTTTTTTTTTATAATTTTGATGGTATGATTTGTTTAATATTATTTATACCATGATTGCATATTTTATTTTGTCTATGTATTTTTATAGATATATAACATATAAACAATGAACTGTAAAACAAACAAAATAAATTGTTGTTCATATTCATGATATATAATACTTTATATGAATTGTTATAATATTTAATTGTGAAAATGTATGAAAAGGAGATTATAAATATATTTAATATTAATATTGAGTTTATCATCCAACACAATCATTATTTTTAATAAATGGTAAAAGTATAAATTATAATGATATGCTTATTTCATTTAACTAAGAAAATATAATTACTTTCAAAATATGAAACAAAAATAAGAAATTAAATAGTGTAATATTTTTATAATTTCTATATGTTATCAATTTTTGTAAATATTTTAAAAAGGAAACATACAAAATAAAAAAAATAGAGGAAATTGTATTGCAAAAAAGAAATGAAAAAAGAAAAATTTTAAAAAAGAAGAAAATATGTATACATATGTGTGCTATTAAAATTGTATGACGAAATAGCTTTTATTTTATCAAACTTGAAGATTTATGGTTTTCTTTTTTCATTATAATTCTTAAACATATTTAAAATATCACCTTATATTTCATTTTATTTAAAAAAAAAGAAAAAAAAATAATAATAAAAAGCACAAAAATTTTTATAGATTCTTAGAAATAATTTTTTATTTTTGTAATTCTCAGAACACTAATAAATTATATATCATTTTTTATTTTGATATTTTATTTTTATAACAATCTATGAAGTTATATGTAACACATAACAACTTTTCTTCTTATAACATTATGTATTCTTATTCAAATAATTTAACATCCAGTTTATAAATTCAAATGATTTTTTCTTCTTTTGCATTTAGAATGCATATACTTTAAATATATTTTGTCTTATTATAAAATTATACATGATGACAACGCATAAATAAATATAATTTTTTTTTTTCTTATATCTTATGTACACCTAATTTTAAACCTTTTTCTATAATTATAAATAAATCACACCTTTCCTTTTTTTTACATATTTAACATAAAAAAAAATTTAATAATTAAACTCTTTTCTTTAGAAACAATAATGAAGGTGAATAAAGAATTTAATAATTATTAATGTATTATCTTTCAATAAAATATTCTTTTAATTTATAATTTTTTTTTTTTTTAAATACGTAATTTTTAATTTTTAGAAAATTTCAAATACAAAAATATTAATTGCATGAAATTAAAAATATATACATTTACATATATATTTTATTCTGTATAAATATAAATGCTTTTTTATTATGGAATAGAATAAAATTTTATAATAAAAATTATTACTTATATATATATATATATATATATATATAAAGAATTAACAAAAGAAAAAAAATTATTCGCTATTTTCAAAATTCACTTTTAAAATATATCCATCAAAATTACAAAAATTTAAAGCATCGATAGCATTTTTTGCTTCATATTCATTTTCCATTATTACTACTCCAGTTAATTCTTTAGAAGAATTTTCTTCATTTTTTAAATCAGCTCTAACAACTCTACCATGTTTTTTAAATAAATCTTTTAATTCTTTCCATGTAACTTGAGGTGGTAAATTATAAACAATTAAAGTACAATTTCTTTTACTTGATCTCCTAAAATCATTTCTTCTAAAATCATCTCTTCTATAATCTCTTCTGAAATCTCTTCTAAAATCATCTCTTCTAAAATCTCTCCTATAATCATCTCTTCTAAAATCTCTTCTATAATCATCTCTTCTATAATCTCTTTTATAATCATAGAATTTTTCTTTTCTAATATTACTAAATCTTCTTTTCTCGTAGTTTCCTGCATTTTCTTCTCTATCCTCTCTTACAAATATTAAACGATCTAAAAAGGAATGTAAAAATACATTATGAAATATCATACACATAAAAAAAAAAAAAAAAAAAAAAAAAAAAATATATATATATATATAATTATACCTTCTAATTTAGAATCATTTAAACTGCTAATAGCTTCTTGAGCTTCTTCATATGTAGCATATTCTACAATTCCACATCCCTAAAAAAATAAGAAATTATATTTCAAAATATATATATATATATATAAAAATATGTTTGATATAAATTGATTTACTTTTGATCTCCCTTGTGCATCTTCAAAAATATCTACTCTGATAACATCTCCTGCTTTTTTCATATGAGTTTTTAAAACTGGCCATGTAACTTTCCATGGTAAATTCCCAACATAAACTCTACAACCTTTTGATGGGCTCTATATGGATATTAAAAAATATAGATATTTTAATGTAAATAATTTATTAACATTTTCAATTATATGTTATTCATTTCCTAATTTTTATTTTAATTTTTCATTATTTTCTAATTGTCTTTTTTTTTTTTAAATTGAAATATCCATATATCTTATTAGTACTATTCTCCAATTGAATATTCATTATTAATAACTTTTTAATATAATAACATATATATACATATATAAAAATATATATAAATATATATATATATGATTGAAATAACATTACTAGTTAAGTATTTAATTTTAATATCATATATTAAATAAAAAATAATAGATTATGTATATAATAATTATATATTTTTTATTCTTCATATATATATATATATATATATTTATTTCATTTAATTTCTTGTTATATTCTTAAAATTTTTTAAATATAAATCATAACTAAATAAATTACTCAATGAAAATTCTACTTCAAAATAAAAAAAATGTTCTTTTAAATCTACTTACATTATTTTCCATGGGAACCTTTTTATAAAATATACTTTAAGATTAAGAATTTTACTTTATATATGTTTATATATTTTGTGATAAAAAAATATATTTATAACTGTAAACTTATTATTCCCTATTTTAATTATTAATTTATACAATATATTTTATTGATATTTTTATATATATTTTTTTTTTCCTTTTTTTTCTTTTTTCTTTTTTCTTTTTTAATTTTTTCTTTTTTAATTTTTTCTTTCTTCTTTTTTCTTTAATTTATTATTTTTTTTTTTTTCTTCTTTTTACTTATCTTATTTTTTTCTTTTTTCTTCTGTTTTTTTTTTTTATTTATTTTCTTAATTTCTTATTTTTTTTTTTTTTTTTTTTTTTTTTTTTTTTTTTTTTTTTTTTTTTTTTTTTTTTGATATCATCTTTAAAACTTTATTAATCTATTTTTCAAATTGCTTCTTTTTTTTCTAAGCATATGATTTAATTTTTTATATATCCTAAATATTTGAATAAAAAAATATCTAAAAAAAATGTGATACAAAAATTTTGAAATTTTAAATTAAAAACAATTTAGAATAAAAAAATAAAATAAAAATAAAATGCAGCTATAAATACCAAGTACAAAGAATATTTATTCTATTCCTTATTCAATTTGCTCATTTTTTAGAATAATACATTAAAAATTTTTTTCAAGGAATGTTTAATTTTTTCGGAAAAATAAATATATGCGTGCTACTAATGGTAGAAACAATCCTTTCTTTTTTTTTTTTTTGCGTTTTCTTATTTTGCTCTTTTTTTTTTTTTTTTTTATTTTTAAAATATAGTGCATATAATTAAGAGGCTTTTTCTTTTTTATAATATTTGCATTTAAGAAAAACTGTAAAATTTCAAATGTTCTGGATACCTTAAAAAAAAAAAAAATTTATTTTATACACAGAGTTAAGGTTTAAATAAAAAAATATATCCATATAAACTAATATAGTGATAATAAAATAATTATCTTCCTATATCATCTCTCTTTTTCTTACCTTTTTTATTATTTCTTTTATTTTTATATATTTTATTATTTTTTTTTTTTTTTTGATACATTTTTTTTATTACGAATTAATCAAAATAGAAATAAAAATAATTTTTTGAATTAAAAAAAAAAATTAGAAGCAAAAATAAAGTGAAATTACTTGTATTAATTGAAAAATAAGGGAGAAAGATTTTTTTGTTTATATGTGATAATTTAAAAACAACAAAAAAATATACATAGTATTATTGGTGTGTTAATAATATTAAAGAGTTATATGAAAATTTTTAATATTTATTAGAAATTTAATAAATATATATATTGTTTGTTTTGTTAAACATACATTTAAAAAAAAGATTATGATATAAATAAAATACAAAGTTCTTTAAAATGTGAATAAACAGTTTTTTTTTACATTTACTAATGGAAATTTACGACTTTGAAAATATTAAAAGGAAAAATGTAATTTAAAATAAAGTGTCTTTGTGAACTTCAAAAAGTAAATCATTAAAATAAAAATATATATTTATATGTTCTACTAATCAAATTAAATATAAAACAATGAAAAATAAATTATGCTAGAATTAATAAAACAGGATACAATAAAATTAAAAATAAAATATGTTTTTGAATTTACATAAAAAAAAAAAAAAAAAAAGAAATATACCTATATATATAAATAAAAAACAAATATGTCTAAATAAAGATTAGGCAATAATATTTTTTTTTAGGTTATTTACTTTTTCTAAAATAGTTATAACATTTGAAATTTTGTTTATATATTCCATTTCTTCATTTTTATTATTACTTTTATTTAAATATTCTAAGTATTTTTCTAGTTTATTTATAAAAACATCTTTCGTTTTATTTAAAGTACATAACTCTTCTTCTAATTTGCTATATTTATTATAATTCATTTCAGTATTCGAAATATCTTTTTTTTTTAATCCTTTTAAATCTGGCTTTTCACATTGCAAAAAATCTTTATTTTCATATTTTGAATAAAATTCATTTTCTTTTTTTAATTTAATATCTCCATTTCCTAATTCAAAATTTTCATTTTTTATTACACTGTGATTATATCCCTTATCAAAATTTAACCATTCACCTACTTCATATCCACATCTTTCTTTTATATAATTTTTGTATTCAAAAAGGTTTTGAATTTCATCTTTTGAAATATTATTCTTATTTAGTATTTCATTAAATTCTTCATTTTGCAATTTTATTTCTTTAATATATTTAATAGGATCTCCAACATTTTCTTTATATTCTTTTTTTTCATTCTTTTCTTTTATATCATTAGTGTCTTCCTCACTTTCTGATTTTTCAAATTTAATGAATAAATTGCATCGAACGCAAAATCGTTCTTCCTTGTTTTTTTGTTTTATAAGGGGTGTTATATTGCACTATAATAAAACAAAAATTCAAAAAATAATATTAAATATAAATAGAAAAATAAAAATATTAAAAAAAAAATTAAAAGATGTTTACTACTTACAATATGACAGCTTGAATTCAACAACGTCCAACCTTGTAATAATTTATCTCCAATAATCTGAGAAACAGAAAAAGGTTCATTACCAATACTGTTTTCTATTTTCATTTTTTATTATTCTTTAAAGGATATAAAAAAAAAAAGAAAAAGAAACTAAAGGTTTAAATTATTTTATTAAAATTGTATATATAAAAGAATAAGCATATATATTTACATATATATAAATATATATCTTTATATTTTTTTATTTTAAGCTTTACAATATTATTTTAATCTTTTATATTTTAATTTATACATATATATCTTGTTTATAAATAAAAACAAAAAATTCACATAAAATTTTTATATTTAATTATATTTATTAAAAGTTCTATATATTAAATAAGTAAATATATAAATAATATATAAAAAAAAAAAAATATATATATATACACAATTTAATTAAATATAATGAAACAAAATATTAGAAATAAAATAATAAAATGTAAAAGTTTAAGATACTTTATTATGAATAAGCTTTCCTTTTAACAATTTTATAAAAAAAAAATAAGAAAATTTTTCATTATCTGATTTTTTAATTTTTGGCCTGAGCATATATGAAAACTAAGTTTTTTTTTTTAATTTTTTTTTTTTTTTTTTTTTATATATATTAAAAATACATGAATATAAATAAAAGAAAAAAAAATAAATATATATATATATAGTTTAACAAAATAAAAAAATAAAGAATTGAAAAAAAAGTTAAAATATGCTAAAAAAAAATATAAAAATATTATAATTTTTTGAATAATATAAAAGTATAAATTATTATATTAATAGAAATAAAAAAAGAAAAACATGAATAATAAAATTACAAAAAACATTGAAAACCAAATATTAGAAGCTTTAAAAGATAAGGAAGATGAATTAGATTTAGAAATAAGAAGATATGAAGCATTACAGAAAAAAATTTATGATGAAAATGATGAAGAATTAGAAAGTATTAAAAATAAAAGATTACAAGAATTAAAGAGTAAATATAAAGAAAAATTAACATTATTAAGAAAAGGGCATGGAAGTTATAAAGAGGTTTTATCAGAAAAAGAATTTTTTCAAATATGCAAAAATTCAAAAAAGGTTTGTTGTCATTTTTATAGAAATACTACATGGAGATGCGAATATTTAGATAGTAAATTGATTAGCTTATCTAAAAAATTTTTAAATATTAACTTTATTAAAATAAATGTGGAAAAATCTCCTTTTTTATGTGAGAGATTGAAAATTTGGTGTATACCTACATTAATGCTCATACGAGATGGAAAAACAGAACATTCAATAATTGGATTTGAAGAATTAGGAGGAGATAATTTTTCTGAGAAAACTTTAATTAATGTTTTAATAAAATGGAAATTAATAGACAAAAAAGAAATAGAAGATTAAAAAGAGAATTTTTTTTTTTTCTCTTTTTTTTTTTTTTTTTTTCTTAATTATAATTATATTCTATTAAATTAAATAATATTACATTTTACAAATTATTTAAAATATAATTAGTACTAATATTTTATTTATATATAAAAAGGTTATATTTAATAAAATATTCGTAATAATAAATATTTAATGATATAAATAGCTTTTTTAACATAAATTAAATTAGAACAACGTAGATATATATATATATATATATATTTTTACAACAAATAATATTTATTACCTATTTGTTCTACTACAATTTATAGCATTAATTTTTTTTACATTTTTTTTTTTTTTTTTTTTTTTGTCTTTTTTATAAATATTAGATATAAAGAATGTTAAAGAAGCAGAATTATTATTTCTTTTTAATTTTTCACTAAATATACTATTTTTCCTTCTTTTTTTTTTTTTTTTTTTGTTTAACTACCTATATATGTAATTTGACTAAAACTTTAATCAATTATATTAACTGAAATGTTATTTGCATAATATATTATTTTCATTTATATATTCTTTTTTAATTTGTAAAAAAAAAATAAAAAAAAAAATTTTGTTATAACATTTAGACTTTCTCAAATTTTTTTTATTAAATATAATTAAAAAAAAAAAAAAAAAAAAAGTATATAAATAAATAAAAATAAAAATAAACAAATATATATCTATATATTATTTGTTATTGTTTCATATTTTTCCAATTATTTCCATAATATCTAAAAACTTTAATACTTCTAAAGAATTACTTGATTTATTCTGACATAATTCAGAATTTAAAATAATAGCTCTTATTAAATCAGATAGATAAATATATTTATAATTTAAAGGAAGAAAATCACTAAATATGCTATAAAAGAAATCTTTAATTTTTTCTTGAGAATTTCTATTTTTATCAATATCATGAATTATGTAAAATGGGCAATATATGGAAACTCTATTCTTAAAATGAAATTTTTTTTTTAATAGATTTACAATTAAATTACAATTATTTAAGCATAAAATGTTTATATGATCTACTTTATAATTTATATTTAAATTTAATAGGGATATCAATTCTTCTTCCTTGTTATTGTCATAAATAAAAAAACTCACTAAATCATTTTTATTTCTAATATTATCATATTTATTACTTGATATACTATTTTCTTTTTCTATATCCTTTTTCTTATTACTTTCTTTTACTTCTAATTGCTCTCTTCTTATATTATTTTCATTTTCTCCTAAATTATAATTAGAATTGCCATTTATAAATTTATTATTTTTATTAGAAGAATTTTGTTGAACCTTATCATCAATTATTTTGTTCTGTTTTAATTTATATATTAAACTTTCATCAGAATAATATATTAACTTATTTCTACATATACTTTCATAATTTAATTTTGAAAAATTTTCACTAATGTATATTTCTTTACATAATAATGACAACTCAAGATATGAAATTATCTGTGTATGAAAGTTGCTATTTTTCAAAAATTTATCGAGAATAATGAATTTATATGGTTTAAAAGCAGCCATTAATAAAAGATAAGAAATCAAAACAAAACAAAAAAAAAAAAAAAAAAAAAAAAAAAAAATAGAAAGATATTTTACATAATTTCAAAATTTCTTAATGAATTTTACTCTTATATATTTAATAACATTTACACTTTATTTTTTTTTTATTAACTTATTTAACATATTATAATTAAAACAATAAAAATAAAATAAATTAAATAAATGATATATATATATAAAGCAGCATATGTCAAGTAGTTTTTAAAAAAAAACCAAAAAAAAATTATTAATAAAAAATATAATAAAAGATGCTATAGAATTTTCTTATATACTCTAATAAACGGTAATTTTTTTTTTTTTTTTTTTTTTTTTAGATTATGATAATATATATTATATGTAAAAATTTTAATTTCTTTTCCTTTTAATTGGTTTATAATAAGAATATATAAAAAATGAAATAATAGTCATTCTGATTATTTAATATTCTTTTATTTTAATATAAATGAAAAAATGATAAAAAAGGTAAAGAAAGATAATATTTTTTTTACATTTTACAAAAGAGGAATCTTTACACCAAACCAAATAAATATAACAAAATTATCTACAAAGTGTTTAAGTAACTATGCATTTGATATTTTAAGATTATCGAGAGAAAACAAGGAATTATATGAAAGCTTTAAAAATAGAATAAATAATGAAATAAATTTATTAGATGCAAAAGATTGCTATAGAATATTAAAGTCACTTGAGATAACTAAAAGGCTAGATGAAGAAGATTTATTGAAAAATATTTTAAAGCAAATATCAATTCAAACTTGTAATTATTCTATAAAGGAAATATGCGATATTTCCTTTTTATGTTCTAAATTAAATTTAATATATATTCCCTTATTTGCATCATTATCTATTTCTTTTTTAAATAAAATAAATTTAGCTACACCTGAGAATTTATCAACTATTTGTTTGAGTTTTTGCAAAATTCAAATAAAAGATATAAATTTATTTAATAGAATAGCAGTTGCAACATTAAATATATTGCATCTATTTGATATAGAAAGTTTAATAAATGTATTGATTTCATTTAGTTATTTAGATATAAAAAAGGATCTTCTATTATATTCATCTGTAGATATTTTCATTAAAAATCAAAACAAATTAGATGCAAACCAACTAGTAAAAGTAGCATATATTTATTCAAAATTCAATTTAATAATTAATGATATAAATTTAATTCTTCAAGATAAATTACCTTTATATATTTCTTCATTAAGTAATATACAATTATCTGAACTAATAATTTCTTTAAATAAATTATGTATTAACTATTATCCCATAAATAAATTTTTTACCAATGTGAACTTGTTAAATTTAAAATTCACTATAGCTATAAAAGTTATAAATGCCTTATCTCAACTGAATAATATTAACATAGAATTCAAATATGATGAAATATTTTTTTGTATTAATAATTTTATTTTAATTCATGGTAAAAATAAAGACTTGAATATCGATGTGTATAAAAATCTTCTAAAAAATTTTAATTTAACACATAACATAAAAAATAATAATAATATTTTTAATAGAAAAAGTGATATAAATAACTCTTGTGAATTGAAAAATTTAGATAACAATTTATCAGATAATGATTTAATATGTGATAACTTATCTGAAGATAATTTATATGAAAATAATTTAAATGATGATAAAATAAATAAAGTTTGTTCTAACAGTATTAGTCTTAATAAAAATTCCATAAAAAATTATTATTATTATTATTATAATTTAAAAAGTAAATTAAAACCAGATTCTGTTTGTTATCTAAGTGTTGATATATTTGAATCATTATGCAATTTTTTAGTAAAAAATAAAATTGTTGATTTTGAAGAAAAGTTAAAATTATATTTAAATTATATAAGTAAAGAAATAATTTTTTTAAAAGACTACATCAATTTTAATTGTTTAATAAAAATTTTTTCGTCTTTATTAAAAACTCCCATAATATGGAATTTATCTTTTTTAGATTTTAATTCAATAAATTCATCTGAAGAAAATTTTTTATTTTATATAGATGGAAAAAGTAATTTTTATGAAGAATTATTGAAAAGATATTTGAGTATTTTCAATACTTCTGAAAATCCAGATAATCATAGTACAATATTATGTTCAATAATTAATTTATACAAAATTAATGAAAAAAAAAAATATAACATTTTATTTGAAAAATGTTTAAAACACTACTCGTTAATAAATCAAAAAAAAAAAAATAAAAATTCCCATTATATATTAGAAGAGCATATTATATATAATTATACAGAATATCATTATAAAAATATTCATTTGTGGAATTTAAGTAAGTATGATTGCATTTTTGGCTTAAATACTAAATGTGATGATATCAATTATTCTAGTGATTTTACTAATTGTGATTATTTGGATAGATATCATATTTTATATTCTTTAAAAGATACTATACCTAATAAAATATTGTCATTAGAATTATTTAATATCATTCACAATTTTACAAAAAATGTAAAAATTAATTTTAGAGATAATATATATTATATTTCATTGGTAGAGTGTGATAATTATATAGCTTATTTATTTTTACAGCCAGAAGATTATTTTTATTCTTCCAATGAACATAAAGAATTAAAGTTAATTAACAAAGTAAGAAAAAATAAAGATAATAAAAATCACGAAAATTCAATAATTTTAATTAATGATATTTTATATGATCCTTATGAAGTCTTTTATAATGAGAACTATTTTATTAAATCAGAAATATTAGTTAAAATAAATTATTTATTAATAAAAGGGTATAATATAGTTGCAATTCCTTTTTATACTTGGAGGTGTATGAGTTATGAAAATAAACATAAAAATATTCAAACTCTTCGGAATAGTATCTTGAATAACTAACTTAAAAGAATTTAATAACAATTTATAGCTAATCTAAATAAAAAATTTTGGTTTATTTTTAATATCAGAATATAAATTGATATAAAATCAATTTTTATAGTAAAATTTACAATTGTATATAAATATTTGCTACATTATAAATTTAGTTATATATTTATATATTCCTTCATTTTTTTTGTTCTATTACTTTTTTATATTTTTACTTTTTTTCTCTTCTTTATTTTTTTATTTATTTGTATTTTATTATTTATTTATTTTTTTTTTTTAATTTTCTTTTTGTATATACACTATCAATTATTTGTATTTCTAGTAACCTTTAAAGCTTTCACTTTTTTTTTTTTTTTTTTTTTTTTTTTTTTCTTTTTTTTTTTTTTTTTTTTTTTTTTTTTTCTCTCCTTTAATTTTTGATATTTACTTTATTCAATTTTTATAAAAATTTATTATCATTTCTATATTTGTTTATTCTTAATATATTGTCTTTTTTGTTTTTTTTAAACATTTATAAACAAATTTTTTAATTCTTCTGTATATTTTATTTCTTATTCATTTTGTAAAACAAATTATAATTATTTTTTTAATTTCTTTTTTTTCTTATTTTTGAAATGAATAATCATATTTTAATATTTTTAACTTTCCTTTTTCTATATGAAATAACTGAGACAGTTTTAAGAAGAAAGGATGATTTAGGATTTCTAAATGAAAGACTAGAGGAAAAAAAAAATTTTGATATAGATTTATGTATAGAAAAAAAAAAAAAAAAAAAAAAA